TCCTGCTGTGTAGGTTCCTGAAATAACCATAGTCCTGAAACTCTCTTCCCTGCCTAGGACCTAGTTGCCTGGATAACCACTGGTTTCCTTCACATCCCACATTCTGAGGATATTCCCAACACTGTGACAGTGGGAAACTCTATTGGCTTTCTCCTGAGACCCTACAACTATTACGACCAGGACCCTTCCATATACTCGCATGATGGCGTGTTTTTCACCGGTGAGCAGGACTTTACTGCCTGTGAAGTCAACTCTGTTGCATGCCTGCCCAAAAAGGCCTCCTGTTTGCCAAACTTTCCCCCGTTCACCTATGATGGTTTCAAAAATATGAGCAGGCTTTAATGTTGCAGGCTGGTGTTAGGAGATGCAAAGGCGCTAGGTTGACTGTTCTGTCCCATGTTTTCGTTTTTGTAGTGGAGTTGTCTCAATTTCCAATTGTACAATAACTTGTTACCGTTGCTTTTAAATAGTGCTCTTTAAAAGGCATGCCTAACCTTCTTAGCATGCTGCTAGATGGGAATGTGCATTGCCCTCTCTAACTGTCGAATTTTGAGTCTGTTGCAGGAGGAAAGTGGGGGAAAAATGCTGTCCCTCTGCTGCAGCAGCAAATGCTGTGTAGTGCCTATCTCAGGTTTAAAACAATGAAGTCTGATTCCGGTCCCATGTGATGTCAAGTGTCTCGTTCTTACAATGCAGCAATGTCTGCTGGGTGGGGCAGTGCTGACTTGTTACCGTGTTTCCTGTGTTTGCAAATCGGTGAGGCACGGGATGGCAGGAGAGGGGTTGCTGGGGCGAGTGGTGGTTGCGTTGCCGGCCCTCGGGCTGGCGCCGAGCTCTGTGGGGTTGCGGAGGCGATGCAGGGAACGGAGCTGAGGCTGCGGCTTGGGCTGCAGCTCCAGAACTCGCTACTGCGTGCAGGTGAGGGGTGACTATTGCACGGGCGATCTTGCTGTCCCTGCGCCAGCACCTTCCTCGCAGCTGAGCTCCTCCGGTGCTGCGGGTGGTACTGGCCGGGCACACGTGAGGGCCCAGCTCGGCCCGTTGCAGCCCTGCACTGGCTGCGCTCGACAGCGTGCAGCAAGGGGGGGGCCTGGGGGCCGAGCTCCTCTGGTGC